TAATTTGATCAGCCGCCTCAGCTCACAGCCGTTGGATCTGATAAGATCCAACGGTCCAGATGATGCCAGAAGGAAACCCTAGGGCCACGCGGCGCCGATCCAGCTTCCACGCGGCTGCCGACAGCCCTCGCCGCCTCCGCCGCTGCCACATCCCAACCGAAGACTCCAGAAGATCATATACCAGCCGTCCATGCAAGGCTACGGGGTGAGTCACCACTGGTAGTCCGGTGACTCACCGAAGCCCCCTCTTCGGACCGGTCCGAGACGAACACCGGTGGTGGCTATAAAAGCCACCACCCACCTGAAAAAAAAAAGGACAGAGATATATAACGAGACAGAGAGACAGAGAAAAGAAAGAACAGAAAGAAAAAAAAAAAAAAACAACAACAACAACTACCAACGATCTCAGCCAAATATCCCATAAGCATAAACAAAAAAAAAAAGGAAAAAGGAAGAAGAGAACTTACCGAGGAAGCCCCAACTACCAGATCTCACCGGAATCTTCGAAACAACGAAGGTACTTTTGTAGATTCGCTCCGATTGGGAGCCTTTTAGGAAGAAATAACACCGGAACCGTCCTTAGGACGGTCCGATCTATATATTAGTGTAAAAATCTTTTTTTCCGGCCACCGGATGCGGTGGCCGGCGGTAATGGTCACGGCGGCAGACGGTTGCCGTCCGGTGACCGGCTTCCCTCCGATGAGGGAAGCTAGAGAGAGAGCAGAGAGAAATTTGTTCTCTCTCAGTTAGAGAGAGAACAGAAGTGATGAAATGAAGCTGGCCCTTCGGGCCAGCCGGTTTTTGGACATATATAGTCCTTCCCGAACGACGTCGTTTCGGGAAGGACTATGCGCGTAATTACAAAATAGTTAAATCCCGTCCGTAGTCCTCCCAACTTGTAAATTTTATATTTTGGTCACTAAACTGAATTTATAATAATTTTAATTCAGTCTTTGAATTTTGATTTTGTTCATTTTAGTCCTTTTTATTAAAATAATATATTTAGGATAAATGACAAATTTAATCCTTTAATTTTAATAAATAATTTTTTAATCCCTAGTTCATATGAATAATTTAATCTGTTATGAAATTCGAATTTTAGATAATTTTATTTTGGTCACTAAATTATTTAATTAGAAAATAAAATATTTAATCCCTATAATTTAGATTAATTATGAATTAGATTTTTAATTTTATTTTAATTATAATTTAGTTATTTATTTTATATGTCTTCATTTATTTTATTGTTTTTAAATATATTGTTTTAGTAGTATTTTTATTTTATTATATTGTTAAATATTTTTATATTCATAAATATATAATAAATAGTAATTTTTAAATATTTATTTTTAATATCGAAGAAAAGGACAGTCTTAATACAACTAGATGTCCTATTCTGATATTTTAAAATTAAAAAATAAATAATATTATTTAAATTAATATTTATCAATATCAAAGAAAAGAGCTGTCTTAAGGCACCTAGAAGTTCTTTTCGGATATTTTTAAATAAATAAATATTTTTTATATAATTTTGAAATAATAGGATTATAAATTAAATATATTTTTGAATTTTTAAATTTTAATAATAGAGACAATTTATAATTAAAAAGTACCAATTTTGGGCGTTGTAGGGGGTGCTAATCATTCCCTAAACGTAACCGACCACGAATCCCTTTTTATTATTAAAAAGAACGAATTTTTGGTTATAAAACGCAGATCAGTTCATCTTTTAAATATTGTTTTCTTAAAAACTCTTTTAAAAGATATTTTTTAGGTATTCGACCTACCTGACCCAAAAGGCCGATGGCGACTCCCAAATTATTTTCAAAACCATTTATTCACATCAATTTTCCCGCCAAGTATAATATTTCGTGCCCGGACAAAAACCGGTTACGACAGTTAGTATGTTAGCTGATGTAATTGAATTGTGTATAAATATAGTGCACTAAAAATGGTTAATAATAAGAAGAAATGATGTATTTTTCACACGTGTTTTTACAATAACAAAATAAGTAAAAATCATAAAAATTCTGTCAAAAAATAACACATGTCACTATGGTAGACATGAGTTAAGTCATACGGTGGTGACAATGTATGTCTATAAAGCTAGTCTTTAATCACTCAATAAGCTAATCTAAAATTTGATTGATGGTGAGCAACGAGCCAATGATGTTGGTGAGCAACGAGCCAACGATGTTGATGAGGGAAGTCGACAAAAGATTATTTTGATCGGATTCACTGATTAAATTGGTATTTTATCTGAATTTTAAAAATTAAATTAATACTATATTAAAACTTTGAAGAGTTAAATATAAAAATTAACTTTTAACTAATATGTCATATTATCAAACTAACATAAATTAATGATTTATTAATTAAAATGAGACTGATCAAAAATAAAAATAACTAAAATTTATCTAGAGCATGACTCGATAATAATTAAGTTGAACTTAAATTTCACCAAGCCTCATTCGAAAATTGATGAATGAAGATGATTAAATTGATATATTTATATATTTATATTTGAATATTTTTAAACCCAGATTAAATTGATATATTTATAAATGATTAGACTAAACTTTCTAGAGAATTAGAACTAAATCGACATAATAAATAAACTTTTATTATTATACTTATTTCAAAAGCTTTCAGGTCATCTTTGCGATTAACAATCAAATAACTTAAATAAATATGGAGTTAATTTCTTAAATCAAGTCGAGTTATAATCCTCCTAAAATTAACCGAATCGGACCAATAAAAATGACACCAAAAGCCAAGGAAAATGTTATTCCCACATGCCAACCCACCTGGTGATGCTGATCAAAGTAGGACACTTTAGCTGCTAATTTCGAGTGCAGGATGTAGCGCAAATGGCCCATCGGGCCTTCTGGCAACATGTGGAGATCCCAATATAAACCAGCCAACAGCTTTAACCTTATCCAATGTTCCGATATAAAGTAAAAACTGTCAAAATCCAGGGGCCACCATATGCACACATTTCAACCTCGTTTCACTTTCGCTATAAATTATCTGCCCTCCATTTCCTCTCAATCTCAGTCTATTCACTTCACCTACTACATAACAAAAAGGAAGAAAGATGGAGGCATTTCAGTGTTGGGTTTCACAACACAAGCTCACTGCCATTGGTAACTTCACATCCATTTCCTTTTTTTGTTTAATGGGTTTTCTTCAATATGCCGCAACTTTTGGGTGTCGCAGGAGCAGTATGGGCATCAGCTCTCTTAAGCCAAATCTGAGGCTTATTCATGCAAGGTTCTCTTCTCTCCATTTTCATTCTCAAAACCAAATTAAACTCACCTCAATTTGTTTTGTTTTTAATCAGAATTTCCGTGTGTGTGATTTGATTGGATGTAGGATGCACTCGCAAGCCTTAACACTAGCGGTGTTGTCTGGTGCAGCTGCATATCATTACTACGAAAAGAATGGCAGCAGTTAAGACAAGGTCACTACCATTGCCTAGAACAGAATCATAGCATATTTGAAATATTTTTTTTATTTGTTAATGGTTTGATGAGGATGATGAAAATATTGGAATGAATGATATATCAGTTATAGTTCTATTTGACGTTCCCCTGGTCCCCTTCTTCAATAATAGATGAAGCTGAGAAAAGTAATATTAAGCTGCCAAAAATGGAACTCACCGCCACCATTAACACTTGCTTGAACAAGTGTGTGAAGCTGCTGCAATATAGAAAACATCAAACATAACCCAAAAATTGAAGCAAAATGCTCAAGTGAAACCAGCTTTAACGTCGTATAACCATTCTGTTTTCGTTCCCTCTTTTGAAGTTTCCAAAACGAAAATGGAAAAAAAGCCATGCGATGAACGTGGATCGAACACGTGACCTTCAGATCTTCAGTCTGACGCTCTCCCAACTGAGCTATCCTCGCACTTGGCTCTAAATAGATTAATATTCTTTTTATTAAGTTTGTAATATATGCTTCTCATAACTGGGTAATTGAGAGAATAGAATAATGCCGACTGATGAAATACCCAAATCCCTTTTTTCCTGTTTGAATGAGACGATGAAAATACCCAATTCAGTTCCGACAATGAGAGAATGGAGTAGAAGTCGAAGTGGTGATGGTGAAAGACGATTTAGGGATGCCAACAGGGGAAGGAGCTTTGGGTTTGTTTTTGTCGACAATAGTTTTGAATTTGCAGTATGCTTGGTGTTGGGAGCAGGAAATTGCCTAGCCTTTGAGTTGCTCATCCGAAACAAGATTTTCTTTTGACCATTTTGTGCATTTCTTGTTGTTTTGATCCTTTAAAGTCTTTGAATAACTTTGATCACTCTTGAAGGCAAAGGATACTTAAAAATTGTTAGCAAAATTAGAACTGTAATCAGATAATTATCAATGCCGTGGTATGTTAGTCATGATGCTATTAAATGATATTTCAATGTTGTAAGTAGCCGTTTACAGGTAAATAGAAGATGGAAGTGATTTTCATCACACTCTCAACTCTGTTGGTGGTTAGGTTTTCGGCAATGACTATACGAGGACTCCCAAACTTTGATCATTGAAAACTCCCAAATGTTTGATCTTTTGATACTTTGTGCTTGACCCTAACATAATTGTTATACTGCTTAGGATGGCCCTTTTGTATCGAATTTCAAATACAGATACTAAAACTGCTTATGAGTGCCTTCCTCTCCATGTGACAAAATTATATCTTTATGCTCAAAATTATAGACATGTATTACCTAACTGATTGAGTTGTCTGCTAAAGGCTTAATATATTTTTGTTTCCTATCTTATTTGAGTCTTGAAGGAAATGGTTGGTGATCCCTTTTAGAACGGTTTTGCTTTAGAACCCCAAGCATTCCCTGTGTTTGTATTTCTAAGCCAAGTTTCTTTCAGTTTTAGCAGTCAGAAAATTACTCGAAAGCAATGTTTGGAACATAAAAGTTCAAGGTCTTTGTGCCATTGTGTCTTGTGATAGTATTGTCATATCAAAGCATTGAAAATTATGGTCTTGTGTATTCTGATATTTGATCTTTACTCTTGTTCATATTCTTGACTTTGATCCATTAATTTGGAAGGATACTGATAAAATGCTGCATCGATGGAGTATTCCCCTTTTAACTTCATGGAATCATTTTAACTCCAAAGTTATACATTTTCTGTTGTTCAATCATTAACATTTTTTTGGCATATGTTACATTTTTAGTATTTTTTTTATAGTAGATTGATGTTTGCTTAAAGTATTCATCATAAGAACCGGATGAATATTGTATGCAGGAAGCAAAAAACAGCGAGAACATGCCACATTTTTGTTATCAGCAATTGCTTTTTTGCTTTCTTTACGTTATTAGTATGAGTTGCTGCTTACTTCATTTGATGTTTGCTTTTGCATTAAGTCATATTGTGCTTTTGTCTCTTTGAAGCTTGTTTTCTTCCAAAATTATATGAATCCTTGAAGATAATCTGGTTAAATATCTTTTAAGCCGGGATTTTATACTTAGGTTATGTCACCAAAGAAGCAATGCCAAAAGAAGGCTGAGGTATATGCTTCGAAGCATGACTTGCCCCACGATTTCATTGGCAAGCAAAGCTTTGTTACTCGAACTCGATTCTGAGTATCGGAAATGAGGTGGAATCAGCAGATGAGTTGGATTAGATTCTCTAACCCTGCAATTATCTAGATATACTTAAGTTAATTAGAGTGCTAGTATCCGATACTAATATGTATCTAACATAGGCATGTTTAATATTTCCTAAATGTTTCCATGTATATAGGTCATACCCCACGGCCATATACATGTTCAGATATGTATCCAACACGAATTTCCCCCCCACCGTAAATATACAGTAACCGACAGATTTTGGTGTAATATCAGATGCTTGAAAGTCTTCGCCATCGTAGTCTAGTACTGTGTGCGTCCAGTTATAGCTAGTGACCATAATAGTTTAGTTTACACTGTGGATGGTGTTAATTGTAGTTGACTGATAGGTTTTCTGTGTGTCCATCAAAGTTTTTGCTGTTGTACACTGATAATGCAGGCTAGGCTTGCGTTATTCGGATCAAATTCGAAGCAACAAGGGGAACGCAGCTGTCCGGTTGTGCGAATCATCCACGTTTGAATCGTTGCCGTAGTCATGTGATTTACTTTGAATATGACTGGTGGATGGAGGCTAGTGAAAGAAACTCTTCACCCTGTAAGGCTAAATGAGCCTCTACATGGATTCTTTTCCTTTTTCCAATATAATAATAGTAAAGTAGCTTAGGCATGGGATTGGAGCTCATTTTAAGCAATCATTAATTATTTGAATATTTGTCTGCTTTCATTTTCAACTTCCATAAAATAAAATAAAAAGAAATTAGTGTCTTTTGCTAATCTTATCTTCTTTTTCAACAGGCTATGGTTAAAGTTGACCATTCATTTTTGGACAGAAATTCCAGCAGTCAGGTATGTTAATGAAAACTATACCTTTTAGAATATCCGTGTTTAATATTTGTGTTCGATTACTTTGTATTAGAATACTCAAATTCGTTAAGTACGATAGCTCGACGATGAGATGAATTCTCTACCTTTGTTTCGAATTGAATTGAGAAACTTGAAGAGCACAAATGTCCCATTTATTCAACATACAAATTTATTCAACATACAAACATTCACACAAGCGGAAAACGTCGACAATTTTAAATTGTACAAACAGCTCAATCAGTTATCTCAAACCTGTTTTTTATACTTTCTTGCAGGAATGAAAACATGTTCTTCAATTTGCTTTCCGGCAGTTGATTCTGATTTCCCCAGAATTTCCTGTAAGAGGTTTAATGTTTCCCATCTTGATCATAGACTTGGCAAATTCCTTGAAAAATAATTTAGTGTTGGCAGCATAACTTTTAACCAAATAATCAGTTGATGAATTCCCATTGAAGAGTTCTTGATCTGAATGGAGCAGACCCTTCTTGCCCAACAAATTTCCGTAATACAGACTATCGAAACGAGTCGGTGTTTGACGATCGAGAGGGGCGAGCACGTTGTCGTTTCCGCTTCTAGGGCAAATCTTTCTCAACGAGTTGGCAAAGGAGGGGTCTATGTCTGAGTCATTGTAAATGTGTGACCGGAATGATGTGCATCGGGCAAGGCCAATGTTATGCGAACCTGTGAATCCAAGTCGAACCATGGTAAGTTGATGTTAAAGTGTACTTGTTTGAAGGATAATCAGGATTTTAAATAGTGACCGCAACGAAATATTGGATTTCTTCGAGACATTCGGATTACCGGAAAGTATTACAAGGTCTTTTATTGAGAGACCCTGAGCTGAGAAGCTTGAAATAAGAGCACTTAGATTAAAGGTTGGTTGTGGAATGCTGGTGTTTGCTGCACTTCGGCTGGCGGTGGTCGAATCCCTTCTTCCCAATAGTACCTTCCATGACGGACCCCCTAACTGCAAACTCGACAAAAATTCTGTCCATAACAATGTTAATGCAAAGATTGTCGTCCAGCATTTGCTTAGTGTACTAACCTGAACAACCGAATCACGAGCAGCAATGGCTAGAATATCAGCGCAGGATACAACTCTAGGACATGCTTTCTCCAGTTGAGCTTTGATGTTGTCGACAACATTGAACCCTCTCGCCGAGTTATTGTTTGCAACTGCTGTTTTCTCACCTATAAACGTCGAGTTATCGTCCAAAAGAACAGATCCATCACATCCCTATTCACCACAAGGATCCACATAAACTTAAATCAACGAAAATATCAAACAATGTGTTACTCAGACTTGTGTCCAAAAACGCATTTGACACGACTGTTCAAGAGTATTTCTAGAAAAAAAACGAAGAGCACTCACATTAACGAAACAGTCGTGAAAATGTAATCTCAACAACGAAGCTCCGATGCGCGTTTCGTTCTTTATAGCTGCGGTGACTCCAGCCTTAACAATAGGTAAAGCTTGTGGGCAGGTGGATGAGTAATAACCAGGGGAGAGTTGGCCTTTGGCTTGAAATGAACAAACAGCAGTAACTAAGGCAAGAAACAGTGAATGAAAACAAGCCATGAAAACACTTTGTCGAACCGAATGATTCAAATTCAGAATGTAATTTGTTGCCTATCGTATTGCAAACAAAATGATACCCTTTTTATACTGTGTAAAAGCGTTAATTTGATTGATTATCACAAAGGAAATGGTAAACGTGTAAGGTTTAAACAAAGGTAACGTAGGTTGCCAAGTAACTTTTAGCGGTTGCCTTTAGTTTGTTGCAATGTTTATTTCTTACAGGATCTTCTGATGAACGCTTGAGGTTCCTTTAGCCTCCAATGCTGCCTTTGACTTAACACAATCTAATTTGGTCCCGAGATTTCGTTTAACGAATGCTATTGTAATCGATTATTGCGATGTATATTCGACAGAAGTTTATCGAAATTTAGTGGTAATCATAATCAACAATCATAGTCATATAATTGCAGGTATATCTTTAATCAATCAAGCTGTTTCTGATAAAAAAAAAGTAGCATTCTCTATTAGTTTAGCCTATAATCCTCTTACAAGGACCGTAATTTGTAGTTTTTTTTAATTACATTTTGTTGTTTCATCAGGTATTTTTCAATTGACTTTCCTGCAATTGATCCTAATTTCCCCAGAATTTCCAGTGAGAGGCTTGATGTTCCCCATCTTGATCATGGATTTGGAGAACTGTTTGAAAAACCTTGAAGAATCTGCAGCATAGTTTTTGACCAAGGAATCGGTTGAAGCAATGTTGACAAGCTCTTGATCAGAATGGAGGAGACCTTTGTTCTTCAACAAGTTCCGAAAGTAGAAATTGTCGAAAGAAGTCGGTGTACGTATGTCGAGCGATCGATGAATGTTGTCTTTGCCAGTTCTCGGGCATCTGCGTTGCAGGGACTTGGCAACGAGGGATCGATGTTGGAGTCGTAGATGCGTGCCCAAAACGATGTGCACCTTGCTAGGCCAATAGTATGATCCCTTGATTATATGCGTTTTTTTGTTCAGTAACCCAACTATAAAAGTTATAAAATGATCCATTGATTATAGGATATTTCTTTGTTGAGTTTTCAATTATTAAAAATTATAAAATGATCACTCAATTATTTATATGTTCCAAACTCATCATTTTCTGTTAAAATTTTAGCGACAATCTGAGCTTGGCATTAACCTATTGATTGTGATATAATAAAATATGATCCTAAAATCTCATACAACTATCATATCTCAGTCAACGTATTAATATCTAGCTTAGTTTGTTATCAAATTTTTAACAAAATATGAAGAGTTTGGAATATATGAGTAGTTGGGTGAATATTTTATAACTTTTAATAGTTAAGAGATTAAAAAAATATCCTATAATCATAGGATCATTTTTAACTTTTGATAATCGTGAGACTTAACAAAGTATTACCTAATAGTTGCAACCAATTTTTATACTTTACCCTAAAATAAGTCATTACAGTATACAAATTATAACTTATTATTCTCTTGATGTACTATGTTCATGTGATTAAGCACTTGTGTTTGTTGTTTTCTTCACACAATGATGCCTTATTGTTCTCTTTATCCATCTTCCACAACTAAGCCTTATTGTGTTTTGCTTAAACGTCATCAACTCAGTAGTTAAAGGAATAGTTGTTGTTTTTAGAGGTTATAGGTTAGTGCATCAATAGCTGCAACAGAGTGATTGAGCGTTTAATATTAAATTATTGAGAGTATTTAGAATAGATACTACTTTGTAATCACTTTAGTTTAATAAAAAAATAAACATAATGTCCCAACCATCTTTCGGGTGGGCTCAGAATTGGGCTTCAACTTGAATAAATGGGTTAGAGTCACCACCGATCATTTAAAAAATATTTAGGTTGATCAGACATCATCTTACCTGATCTGCGTTTTACCAAAAGTATGTCGGATTCGGGAGTCGGTTACAATTAAAGAAGGATTAGTACCCTTAAACTGCCCTTTCGACACCATTTTAATTTATCAGTTGTCTTAATTGCGAAAATGAAAATTTAAATTAAAATGTAAAGACTCGATTCAAATTATTTACCTTTGATCGATTAAAATTACCTCTAAAAAGTTGAAAACGTTAGATTATAAAATAAAAGAAATATTAAATAAAAATTAAATTTTAAAAAATAAATCAAAGAAGGAAATATTAAATTTTTAAAAATGTTATATATAAAAAATGTTAAAAGAAAAAATAAAATAAATGAAGAAAATATTAAATTTCAAAAAAGAAAAATAATAAAATATTAAAATATTAAAAGAGAAAATAAAAATAAAACAAAATAAAATTAAAAAGAAGTGGGAAAATAAAAATAAAACCAAATAAAAAAGTGTTAAATTTAAAAAAAATACAAAGAAAGAAAAAAATAAAGGTAAAATAAAAGGTATAATAAAATAAAATAAAAGATAAAATAATAAATAATAGTAGTAAAGATAAAAAGAGACAGTTGTTTTTAAAATAAAATATAAAAATTAAATAAAAGAAAATAATTAAATAAATAATCTATAAAGATTGAGATAAAGAGAAACTTATAGTGAAAGTAGCCTCAGAAATTCCTCTAATCTTCGAAACAAATCTTTACTTTAAAATTCACGTCAGCTTACAAGGGCAATTCTTCACTGACGACTCGGATTATGTTGTTTCAACAATAATTGGTTCTTATCTCAGTTTCCTCTTAGCAAACAATTTTGCTAAGTGTATTCTCGGGGAGTCAAATGTGTTTCAATAAGTCAATCATTCTTACAATTCTCACGTTTTAAATTGAGTTTTCGCTTTAGCCATCGGCTTAAAAGAAAATTAGCTAAGCATGACCAAAATCATACTTAGCATTTGTTGAAAACGAAAATTAAAAGAAAATAAAGGAGTATACGAAAATATAGAGAAAGCTCGAGAGAAAAATAAGATTTTATTCTTAGATGTGTCTGTGTTTTAAGATGTTTTTTTAGGCTTACCCTAAGAGGGTATTTATAGCATTCAAATTCCTTTAAAGTAATATCTTTTATCGTAATTAAAACATTTAAAAGTATTTAAACTAAAATACCTAAAACAAAGATAAAATAAAATAGTATTTAAAATAATATCTTAAATCCTAATTGAAATACTAACATCTATTTAAACTAAAAAACAAAGATAAAATATAATATTAATATATATACTAAATAAGCCCCGAATGAAAATAGGTGTCTACAGCTGCCCCTTTTAGTCATTTTTCGTGTAACAAAAAATAGGACAAATATAAAAAGACACAAATTTTTATTCGGTAGTTGTGGATGACTTCTCCGTCGCGAAGTTGGGTCAGTCCTAAAATGATATCCTTCTTCATGTTATTCGGAATTTGAATTGGAAGGTGGCTTCTTGTGGCTAAATTGTAGTCAACCTTGGTTTTCTTCTTGGTTTAAAGACATCGTTTTGCAAATTCAATCGGAAAGTAATTCCTCGATGCTACCATGTGGTTGATATGCCCTCAAGCTGAATAGAATCGAACTCGAAGGTTTTTGTTGACAGATAGCCCTTCTCGCCTTGAGCTATGCTATAATAGGCTGGGAGATAACCCTATATTGTTCCAGATGACTCATTTGCTGTGAAACTAAGTCAATTTTTTGGGTATGATATCCTTCGTCGTGAAGTTGAAATCGTGGATGGATCCTTCGCTGTGAAGTTAAACTTCGAATTGGATGTCATTCGTTGTGAAATTGAATTCCAAAATTGCATTGCTTTCGAGTTCAATATCTTTCGCTGTGAAGTTGAAATTGACTCTGAATGAAACTGGTTTTTCATTGTTATGTCTCAGATGACTCATTCGTCGTGAAGTTGGGTCAATCTTTTGGGTACGATATCCTTCGTCGTGAAGTTGAAATCGTGGATGGCTCATTCCCTGTGAAGTTAAGTTTTGAATTGGATGTTCTTCGTTGTGAAGTTAAAATCCAAAATTGCATTGCTTCCGAGTTCAATATCCTTCGATGTGAAGTTGAAATTGACTCTGAACGAAACTGGTTTTTCATTTTTGTGTGTCACAAATGACTCATTCGTCGTGAAGTTGGATCAATCTTTTGGGTACAATATCATTTGTTGTGAAGTCAAAATCGTAGGTGGCTCATTCGTTGTGAAGTTGAGCTTTGAATTGAATATCCTTCATTGTGAAGTTGAAATCCAGTCTTGTAAATTGAATTGCTTTGAGATTAATATATTTCGTTGTGAAGTTGAAATTGTAGATGGCTCATTCGCTTTGAAGTTGAGCTTTGAATTGGATGTCCTTCGTTGTGAAGTTGAAATCCAATCTTGAAAATTACATTAGCTCGAGTTTAATATCCTTCGTTGTGAAGTGGACATTGACTCTAACAAGAATAAGTTGGAGGGAAATCTTCAATCTCTGGTTGTCAGTCCTGATGACTCTTGATTCTGGACTCTTGATCTTGGATTCTCCAACATGTTTAAATGAATTTTATTTCTAGTCCTGGTTTGGGCAATGCCTTTCAGTTATCTTAGGTATGGTGCATAAGCCTTGATTGGCTTCCGAATATCTTCTAGAAAGTGCCACATCAAATCGTGTAATGCCCAGAGTCGTGCCCATGTCTCAAGCCGTGACCAAATAATAAAAAAATACAGAATGCCTTCATTTTAGTGCAATTTCCAAAATCTGACGTCCTGCACAGAAAATGAATTAAAACAAACAAATAAGCCACAAATAACCAATGATTAAGGAGTAATTTAAAAGCAAAATATTAACTAAATTAAACACTTATCAAATTCCCCCTCACTTATTCAATGTTTGTCCTCAAACATTCCTCAATTAACATATCAAAATCATAAGTTGTCATCTTCAATTTCAATTTATTCCTCAAACTTCCAATCGAACTAAGTTCATGACATTTGCCGAATTCAAGTTACAATCAAGCAAAGACACAACTAGGAAAATTTAAAGTAAGCAAGACATCCCAATTAATTGCCAATTTCAATGAAATATAACTCAATACCTCACAAAGATTCACACATATCCGCTCAAAGTGTTTGGGGTGAATGAAATCGCTCAAATTGAAACTAACCAAGACATTACCATAGGCTTGGAATCCAATCAAGTCTCCACTACGAAAATGAACATAATGCAATAATCAAGGGGTGTTGAAACAAGATATAATGGGGTTTAGGTTAGGGTAGAGAAAAGGTAAAAAATGGTTTAAAATACCAAAACAAGAGATCGAAATAATTAAGAACAATCTATGAATTAACATGAAGCGTAATGAAACAAGGAAAAAGAAAAGATGAAAGAAAATTGAAACGATCAATTTTTCCTTCCCCTATTTTTTCTTCTTCTTTTTGAACGAATGTATTTTTTTTGCTGAAACAGTGAACAACTTACTTTTTTTAAACAATGATTTTTTTCTTTTTTTTTCGTGGACAAGAGTGATACAATATCTCAAGTCTCGGTAAGGGTGTAAAAAGAGAGAAAAAATAAAAAGAAAGGCTTCGGGTTTAATTGAGCTGTAAAACAAAGAAAGACAAATAGACCCAAATGTGGTTCACTAGTGGGTATGTAAATGGGTAGGCTTTTTGTAAAAAGTGGGTTTATCCTAAGTGACATTTCACATTAAAACATTACGTTAAATATGTAGTATAGATATGCATTGTAATTACAAGTTCTAGAACATCTTAATTAGTCCGACACACACAAGTCAAACAATGAGTAAGAAAGAAAATGTATGCTCGTTAGACTCAAATCTCATAAGAAAAGTTTATATGAATTGAGTAAAGTTCATCTCTATCGACAAAAGCATGAAATATCTATACTCAACAAAAATTCACCAACTATATCAATCACCGATCATGCAAATTAAATTCGATCAAAACATGATCACAATCCAAAAGGAAACAAGAGTATAAAGTGAAGTTCAAGACTGGCAACCAACGATCCCAACACATCAATATCAGAATAACTCAATTTCAAACAATCAAACAAGTTAAGGAAAAAAATTTTGACATGCTTGTCCTTCCCCCCTCACTTAATTCGTTTTGTCCCAAAACGTATGTCGAATTTAAAAAATAAAGAGAGGTAAAAGGAATATTCCCCAATCTAGTGGCGAAAAAATTAGGACCATTGCTCGATTTGTGCGTGTCATCCTTGCACATGGGAAGTAAAAGTCTAGTGACTTATAATTTTCAGCAGTTTTGCTTGCCAAGAAATCCGATATGACACTTCCCTTTGTAGCTTTTTGGCTTACATACTCGATGTCAAATTCGAATAACAACATCTGCCATCAGGTTTTTTGATGGGAGGATATCTGACCTCGCAATCAGTAAACTTATTTCTTAGGTAGTAAATGGCTCTTTCCTTCCTCTCGGGTTCATCATGCTGACCTAGAACACACCCCATTGAATTCTCAAATATGGATAAATACAAGAATAGAGGTTTACCTTGAGTGGGGTACATTAAGATAGGAGTGCGAGATAAGTATTCTTTTATTTCTCGAATGCAATATGGCAATCCTCATCCCATGTTCCAGAGTTATTTTTTTTAAGAAGGCGGAAAATTGGGTCGCACTTGTCGGTCAATTGAGATATGAACCGCACTATATAATTTAACCTACCCAGAAAACCTCGAACCTCTTTATGTGTTTAGGGGAGGTAAATTCTGGATGGCTTTGACTTTATCTAGATCAAATTCGATACCTCTCCTGCTGACTACGAAGCCTAACGACTTTCCTAATGTTATCTCGAAAGTACATTTATTGGGGTTTAGTTTTAGCTGGAACTTTCTTAATCTTTGAAGGAGCTTTCTCAGATTTTCGACATGTTCATCTTCGGTTTGTTCTTTGATAATCATGTTATCAATATAAACCTCAATTTCTTTGTGTATCATGTCATGAAACAAGGTCACCATGGCTCTTTGATATGTTACCCTAGCATTCTTTAGTCCGAAGGGCATCATCTTGTAACAGAAAGCTCCCTATATTGTGACAAATGTGGTCTTTTCCATGTCCTTAGGATGCATCTTAATCTGGTTATAAACTGAGAATCCTTCTATGATTGAGAATAAAGCGTTCCCGGTAGTATTATCCACCAAAGTGTCTATGTGCGGTAGATAAAAGTTATCTTTGGGACTCGTCTTGTTAAGGTCTCGGTAATCAACACACATGCGTACTTTTCCGTCTTTCTTTGGAATCGACACTATGTTAGCCTCCCATTTTGGATACTTGGCCACTTGAAGGAAGCCAACATCAAATTGTTTCTTGACCTCTTCCTTGATCTTAAGGAGCATTTCAGGTCTCGTTCTCCTTATCTTTTATTACACAGGTTTGCATTTTGGTTTGATGGGCAGTTTGTGGAATACCATACCCATATTTAGTCCCGACATATCTTGATACGACCATGCAAACACATCTTTGTATTCTTGAAGTAAGAATATTAAGTCTTGCTTCAGTTGAGAGAATTGTGCCAATTTTGACTTCCTTTCTTTCCTCTTCTGTACCCAGATTTAGGACTTCGATTTTCTCTTTATGTGGAAATATTTCCTTGTCTTCTCTTTCTATCATTCTTAACAATTTGGAAGGTAAGTTGCATTTGTCTTCAATGTTATATTCATGAACTTCCCCAAGACAAATGAACTGTTCAAAATCCACTTCTGGGTTAGTATCATCAGCACCTGCATTATCATTATCTTGGGACCCTTACAAAAGATCACCTATTGCCCCTGGTGTAGGCAAATAGGGATAGTTTGAGTATTACTCTGAAAGAAATTTAAAAACCACAAGTAATTCTTCAGCGTCTAGTTGCTAAGCCCCGATCCAGATGACAAAGGGCAGATTCATGACACGTCCATATTTTTTGGCATTTTTTGTGGTTATAGCATTAATACTCCATTCTTTCAAAGCAACCTCTAAATCTGGTAAAGTCGTCCCAAACTCATAATCACCGAATTTAAATGTTTCATAAAAAGATGTAAAAACCATGGGTTCCCATCGAAATCCACTCTTATTTAATCTGACCAATCTTCTTTCTCGGTTTTTCTGAATTTTTTTCTTCTTATATTGTTGACTGGGCCGAAAACCAAGCCCGAACTGGTCTAGCTTTGTTATAGGAAGGACGAGATTGATCATTTCTTGAAACAGACTCTCAAATCCTCTTCCCACATTGACATCTCTTCCCAATATCTGTTTGATCTCCATTTTAGTGCATTCGGAGAGCCAGAGTTTGGAAATTTTTCATCATTCAGTCACAAATGTGGCATTCACAAATTCTAAGGGCGGAATGAACATTCTACCGTTTTATTATTTACGTCTATGTATGGGGCATCAGTGGTCAAACTCGCCATGTTATCTTCTTCAACATTTACAATTACCAGAGCCCCTTGACTTTCTGGTGCAGCGTAGACGGTACTACTCCAGCTTGATGGATTCAAGGCTTGTGGAGGTATATTCTATGTTTGTTCCCTCTTCTTTTGAGACATTTTCTGTTAGTTAATCTGAAATACAAAATCATGGAAAATAATAAAAGAAATGAAATGCAAGGTATGAATATAATGCATGATTCATGAGAATTAGATGCATTGATCCAGAAACCTGTCTGTTATTATAAATAATCTTTATTGGGACAAAAGTGTTTTATTTTTTAAGAGACAAAAATATCTTAAAGGTACATTATGACTAAATCTTCTAAACCACGAACAACTTTTGACAAGTCTTATTCCTTTATCTGTCACTGGTTGAATACCTTGTCAGGCCACTTCAGCTTCCTTTGCTAAACCGTGCAAATGATGAGCTATTTTTTGTACTTGTTCCAGGAAATCTCGGATAATTGCATCTCTAGCTTTCACCTTTTGATGGGCTTGTTCCCAAAGAAAACGCCACTAAAATCCCCCATCAAAGGGAACTATCTGAATCTCACTTGCTTGCTTCTTGAACCCGTTCGCAATGGCTTCCAATTCAACTATGGTTTTTCCATCTTGTTCTTGGTGTTTCTGGAGAGATTTCTCTAAATCAGTTACCTGGACCCTTAAACGATTATTCTGGTACTGGTTGTCTATCAAACATCTCTGAGAAGTCTTTAGCTGTTCTTTCAAGGTCTCTTTTTCATCCTACCCTTCAAACTTCCATTTCAGGCTGTTAGCTTCACTTTTCCAGTACTTAAAAGACCTCTTCAGATTGGAATAGCTCTGGACTTATTCTTGATATCATTTTCTCAAATCCTCGAGCTCAAAATAAATTTTCTTATGTTCCCTCTCTAACTTGTCCGCCCGATCCTTCTGGTATCAGCATCCAACTTCCACTGTAACCTTTCAACCTCAAGTTCCCTTAGTCTTTGTTTCAGCTCATTCTTTACATCATCAAATTCTTTCCTCGATATCTCTAGCTCGGAGGGAACATTCTTAAGATGTTCTTCCATGGTTCGAGTGTCTTCATGATCTGGCATGGGGATATTGTCATTTTTCCTTAACCTCTGTCATTCCAAATAATCTGGAGTAAGCATGTCTTTGGCGGCCACGACATCCATCCAGAACACTTTCTTCCATGACTCAACTACTTCTTTGACCTTTTTCTTATAGTTGTCCCCATGATATGCAAATTATGATCCATATATTTTGTGTGTTGTTGGGACAAACTAGCATGCCCCATACTGTCGAAGTGTCAAAAGTGGGAAATATCCGAATCCTCCCCATAATCCAAGTAAGGTAATAGTTTCTGAGTCTCCACATCGGAAAAGAATGTCACTGTAGGTTAACCAAAGAGCTCTCCAGACAATATCCCTATCATGAAGATGTGTGAATACTTTCATCCACTTTTCTTTTGGGGCACCTTCTTGCCATTTCATGGCAAGAAACTCCCCCAAAGGAGAATAAGTAGTGCTGAACCGGCAGTAAGAAATCCCGTTAGTCTTTCAAAAGTGACTATGGATCCAACTTGGAGAAGCTGGGCACACCCTATGAATCTTCCTCCACCAGTCTTCCTACAGTGGTTGAGAGAGCGAAAGGTTTCAGCTAAGATTGCTGGTGCTGGATTTACTCATCTCGGGAGTTGTTCGAATAATTCTACCACAGCTGCCTCAATGCACCCCAAAGTCTTCGGGAAGATAACCAAACCATAAAGGCTCAGTGCGAAAAGATCTATTGCTTTCCATTCATCGAGGTGTTTCATCATCAGTTGCTTGATATGTGTCTAAACAATTCCTTCCCCGTTACCTTTGTGTCGAATCCGGTCAGTTGCCCATTTTTCATCTACCCCCGCAACCTTTGCCAGTCCGTTCTTGAAAGATTGACTTTTCATGTGCTTGATGTAAACCCGATCCATTTTGATTCCCTCGTAATGCAACAATGTAGTATACTCTTCGATTATGGGCACCATGTCCTCCTGGTTAAAGGTGAAACAGTTGTACCTCATACTATAGAATTGTACTAAGGCTTTGATTAGGGGCTCATCGGTCTTGACGTAGAGTAGGAGTGCGATATCACCATACCGTTGGCTGAACTTCCGCTTCTGGTCACTCTTCAAGTTGTCCCAAATGCTCCATAGCTCTTGAACATCATTATGCTTTAGGCTGACAGAAGCATAGCTAACCAGATCTGACACATAGCTTCCTTGCAGGCCGTCTCCCTTTTCTTTTTGAGTATTTTCGAACCACAGTCGTACCTCGACGTTTTTCACCTCTTGCATTACAACCCCTTTGTCCATTAATGCAAATTATTTGTGTGTAACAAATACTTTTTGTGGATCAACTACCTCTTTTTTATGATGCAAATGATAAAAATGCAAGCATGAAAGAAAAATTAATTAGTAAGATAGAAATAATAATGATAAAAGTAAAAATAATAAACTGCATGATAAAAGTAAAAACATCCTAGGCTTTGAAATGGAGTTTCGGGGTATGCTCTAATTCCATGTAGTTTCCCGGTTTAGGTTCTAAAGAAGGTACCCTAGTTCTCATTGTCGATACCCCATTGGGCTTGCCAGAACCTTAGTCCTAAGCCCATTAGAAGCTTATGTGGACTAAGTTAAACTTGAGAGGATACATTCCCTTATGTCTACATGGACATAAGGTATATGAATCCCGAAGGTTACTTGTAGGCCTACACGGAGAATAAATTCCCACGAAGGCGTCGATTTTACCCCACTTAAAAAGGGTTCATAGCTCGGGTATAGAGCCTTAGATGAAAAAGGTTTAATAAGCTAAAACCATCAACAAAAACGTCAGTACAACTATTTATTAGAAAAAATAATCAAAGGTAAGTAATAAAGATTGAAAATTTTACTTAAAATTTAAACTTACACTTTTCACTTAAGAAGACAACTGGAAATTAACCTTAGCTTGACTCACTTACCTGTCCCCAGCAGAGTCGCCAAGTTATCGCTGTCATCTTTTGGGTGGGCTCGAAATTGGGGTTTGACTTGAATAAATGGGTTAGAGTCATCACCGATCATTTAAAAATTATTTAGGTTGACCGGACACCATATTACATGATCTGTGTTTTACCAGAAATATGTCGGATTCGGGAGTCGATTACAGTCAAAGAAGGATTAGCACCCTTGAACTGCCCTTTCGGTACCATTTAATTGATCGGTTGTCTTAATTGTGAAAATGAAAATTTAAAGACTTGATTCGAATTATTTACCTTTGATCGATTAAAATTACCTCTAAAAAGTTGAAAACGTTAGATTATAAAATAAAAGAAATATCAGATAAAAAATTAAATTTTAAAAAAATAAATCAAAGAATGAAATATTAAATTTTAAAAAATATATTATATATAAAAAATGTTTTAAAAAATAAAATAAATGAAGAAAATATTAAAATTTAGAAAAGAAAAATAATAAAATATAAAAAATGTTAAAAGAAAAAAAAGTGGGAAAATAAAAATAAAACAAAAAAGTGTTAAATTTTAAAGAAAATACAATGAAAGAAAAAAAATAAAGGTATAATAAAATAAAATAAAAGATAAAATAATAAAATAAAATAAAAGATAAAATAATAAATAATAATAGTAAAGATAAAAAGGTATTTTTAAAAGTTATTTTTAAAATAAAAGATAAGAATTAAATAAAAGAAATAATTAAATAAATAATATAAGAGATTGAGATAAAGAGAAACTTATAGTGAAAGTAACCTAAGAAATTCCTCAGATCATCAAACAAATATTTACTTCAAAATTCACGTCAACTTATAAGGACAATTCTTTGCTGACGACTCAGATTATGTTGTTTCAACAATAATTGGTTCCGGTCTCAATTTCCTCTTAGCAAGCAATTTTGCTAAGTGTATTCTCGGGGAGTCGAATGTGCTTCAATAAGCAAATCCTTCTTACAATTCTCACTTTTGGAATTGAGTATTCGCTTTAGCCCTCGACTTAAAAAGAAATTAGCTAAGCATATCCAAAGTCATACTTAGTATTTGTTGAAAATGAAAATTAAAAGCAAATAAAGGAGTATGCGAACATAGAGAGAAAGAGAGAAAAAAAGATTTTATTCTCACATGTGTATGTGTTTTCAGATGTCTGTTTAGGCTTACCCTGAGAGGGTATTTATAGCATTCAAATTCTTAAAAATAAACTAAAGATAATTTTTAAAATAATATTTTTATCGTAATTAAAAGACTTAAAACTTTTTAAACTAAAATACCTAAAATAAAGATAAAATAAAAATAATTTTAAAATAATATCTTAAATCTTAATTAAAATATTAATATATATTTAAACTAAAATATAAAGATAAAATATATTATATATATACCAAAAAAGTTCCGAACGACACCATGCACTCAAGGCAACCTTAAAAGAAAGTGAATGATTGGGGTAATATCGTTTGAAGTTGTCGAGTACAAGGCACAGCCTTTCAAACCACTGTCCAAATAAATTAGGGCATCTGGCCCTACTTTTCAACCCCTAAAACTGGCAAAAGCCTAAGCCTAGTCTACTGTGGAATAATGATCCATGGGATCTGTTCTTTTCTTGTTTTGGATAACATTGGAGCATGTTATTTCATTTTTGTCACCGAGGAAAAACAGGGTTGGGATATCTTCTTTGCTTGATTTGGACAAATATTGTATTTATTTTCACCCCAAAATAATATGGATGTAGGCTGCTATTATTGTTATTATTATATGTTTAAAGAAATAAGTTAAAGCTGATGGGTAAAAAATAATAAACTTGACAATTGACACACTCAAAACCATGATAACCCAAAGCTATGTAAATATATAAACTTACACCTAATCAATATATTTTTATTTTGAACCCATTGAGCGGTGTTAATAATAAATCAGAGTATTATTTTTTTAGAGATCTCAAATTCGAGTAGTTTCATCATCATAGTATGTGTATACAACGATGAATTTAATTTTTTTAAGAATTGATATATATATATTCATTTTTCAAATTTTATTTTCATAAAACAAGTAGAATTAAATAAGTTTATTGAAGTTGAAATTTAACAAATTTTAAGTCCAAATATTCTTTCTTTTTATAGAAATTTGAAATGGTGACAATGAATTACACCCATTTAAACGTCGTGTTATTAGTAAAATTTGAAGGTTGTCCAAATTATTTAAAATATAATTCAAAATATATTATTTAAATTTGTTTATATAGGCATATATTGACAGTGAATATTTTAAAAAGTCTATTATATGTCTTATTTTAAATTTTAAAATTTAAACCCTAAACTTGAACACTCAAATTTTAAACTTCAAACCTTTAATTTTAATTTAACCTTAATATCATAAACGTTAAATAAAACACGTGATAATATTTAAACTTCATTTGTAAACTTTTTTTTTACTTTTAATATATGAGATAATAATGTTTATGTAACTAATATCAAGTACAATGATAATGGATTTCTTTTCAGAAACGATGTTAAAACAATGAAAAAAATATGAGATAAAAATGTATTTATTTAAGAACACAATCTATCACTTTTGGGTATTTTTCTTTATACTGATTACAAACCAAATATTTATCCATATAAAATTATATATTCTAAACATTTTTTTTCCTAAAACAAGAGATGGATAATTTGAATAGATTGGGCGAGGCCTGAGCCTAGATTTTCTAAAAGTTAGAATATTATAATGACCTAGCCCCGGGGGCGGATGTATGTGGCTCCCTAGGAGAGTCACTGTATCCATTATTTTGAGAAAAATGTTAAATTTAGTTTAATTTGTTAATGAAAATAGAAAAAAAAAATTTGCATGCACAAAATTTCTAGAATAGAGCATTAAAATTTTGGACCCTCATTTTTTAATTTCTAGATCCGCCACTACCTAGCCCATGGACACATTTGCAATACAAGTGAGCAACAAATATGTGTAGGCTCATTTAGAATAATTTATGATTAAAACTCATACTAATAAATATTGTTTAATGACATTGAAAATATCTATATTTGAAGATTTTAAAAATTAATAAAAAAAACTAAATATAT